CGGATACCGTTATACACCAAATATTCACAAGATGTTCTATCAATCTCAGGAGGGAGAAACAAGGTAGTTGCTTGGAAGCTTCAACTCGCCATCATACTGAAGCATTCCGGCATAACGGATTTAGGGAACCGTACATGATCGAATTTGTTGAAATCTTGATATTCAAATGCCTTAGCAAGCATAACCATTCGATCTGCTCGGAAGTTAACAGTAACAACAGCATCACCATCTACTATAGGACCCACAGCCTTGTTGTTCTCATCGACGATGACAAAGGGAGGTAAGTATTGGTCATTAGCATTCTCCCTCAATTTCTTTACAGCCTCAACAGCACTCGTAAACTTGTGTAGGGCTTCACCGATAACTTGAGCATCCCATCCTCTTTTCACAACATTCCAGTCATTCTACAAAAGATCCATTCATAAAAATTAGCTTCTTAATCAACTCCAATAAATCTTTTGAGATCTTTGAAAAAAACAGAAACAACTGAAATGCAAATTGTCCGTGCAATACACATTCTGGACTCTTGACAATGATGTCTCACCTCATAACGGTCCATCGTTACATACATGCGGCCTCCACCAGATGCAATCTGGGCATCAACACCTTTTTCACGTAACTTGCAAGATCATTCTCAAGAGTCTCCACAAAGCCCACACTTGAACCATCCAAAACATCACGACCATCGGTAAGAACATGAACACGGATTCTTTTAGCACCACGCTCACCAGCTCCCATCAACAACAACTGCATAAAAAGATAAAATAAAATAAAAAACAAATTAAATAACCAATCTAACGGAAAACAAAATGAAGTCATTATAGAAGCCAAACCTCAAAAGATAGGAACCAATCCAGAATCACCAAACACTACCTGCAATTGATCGAGTCGAGAGTGAACACCTCATCACTAAGTAATCCGATCAAGTGAAGAGTACCATTTGCAAAAGATTCACTTATATACTTGAATCCTTCCCCCTCATAGATTTCCCAGAGGCCAGAGCAAGATCAACAAAGCCCTACGGTGATAAATGAATTAATATGTTAGAACACTTGCAACATAGTTAATTTGCCAACATGATAGCAAGCATATATATACATACACACATATAAAAATCAAGAAGAGAAGCTTACCTTGAGCGAAAATACGGCCAGCGCCGAGAGCATTGTGACCAACTTCACTATTTCCCATGTTGGAAGCCCTACGGCAGTTCCATGAGCCCTGATTAATCTCCATTTCTCCGGGAAACCCTATCCAACAACATCAATTTCACTCAAATTAAGTCTCATTACATAATGGTATATTGTAATCCTTCAATGAATCAAAAGATTGCAATAAGGTCCCCATAAGAAATACTTGCAAATCCCTAATTTAAAGTAATACACACACATTTTCCCCAAATTGGAGGAATCAATCTGTCATAAATATAAATATATGTATTATAGTTTGATACGCTATCAAAAACAAGTGTTCTAATGACAACATGAGATTTAACAACCCCAATTAACACAAACTAAAAACTACAATAATCTTTCAGAACAAGAAGAAAGCTTGATAAGATTCATACAAATCCAAAATCATTGAGAAAGATTTCTCAAATCAAAAATGGAGAAAATCCCAGATCTAAGAACACAAAAGATAAAAAAAAAAAGGAAAAAAACAAAAAATAACCTGTTTGAGGGAATCCATGGTGGGTGTTTGGGCAACATGGATACAATTGTATTGATCGGGTTTGTATTCGCCCATCCGTCCAAAACGACGACGGCGATGGTCTTGCCCTTTGGAAGCTTTGGGTGGTCCTCTAACTTCCACGATACCGCTCCTGAACTCGCCATTGTTGTTAGCTTTACCTTGCTTCTGTTCTGGGTATTAATTGAAGGAAGGTTTGATAGTTATATATATAAGAGGAAAAATAAAAATGGAAATGTGAGGGGAAGAAGACGAAGGCGTGAATAGTGAGGCATTCAAAGTTTTGACCATTATAAAGTTCAAATAAAAATGGAACTGGTGGAGACAAACCATGGCGAATAAGCGGCTTTCTTGTTTTATCAACACCGCACCTGATTTTAGCATGTCCCTAGCAAAGTAGTCCGTACAATATTTTAACAATAGGTCACTAAAGGATGCTTAAATTATCGGTTTAGCCACTTAATTTTTAAAAGTTACAAATTAGTTTATCTCATTGCTATAATCATTTAAATTTAACCATTGTAAAAGGTTATTGGAGTTTCAATTCAAAATCATTAAAATTTCATTTGTGAAATATTTTTCTATCATCAGTGTAATAATAATTTTTCTGATCATAATATATAAAAGTTGAATTAGTTATATTTTATATCTTAAAATAATATATTCAAATTAATTTAAATTTTAAATATATAATCAATGAATTATTAAAAAAAACTAACTTTATATAGAGGTGGTAAAGTAGTCATTTGGATTGGGTTTAGGTCGAGTCATTTCGGGTTTAGCTTATATTTAATTTAAATTTATTCGGGTTTGTTCGAATTTGGTTCAAATTTAGTTCGTGTGTATGCTAAATCAGATCGGGTCAAATATCGGGTCAAGTCAATGTTCAGGTGGGATAGTTTTGGGTCGGGTGATTATCGGATCAGTTGTTTTCGATTCAGATCAATATCAAAACCATTGATTTTTTGGTCAAGTTAATATCAGGTCGGTTAGATTTGGGTCGGTCCATATCAGGTCAATATCATATCACTTGATTTTTTGTTTGAATCAGATCAATTCGAGTTGAATTGATTATGAGTCTAATCAAGTATATATAGAATTATTAATATATTCTTATAAAAAATATATGTTTCATTGTTTGTTAATCTTATCAGCTAGACAATTAGAATTTATTTCAATTCTGAATCGTTCAATATTTTGAATTAAACTTTCATTTAGAGATTATAAATTGATAATTTAAACCGATAAATCCTCTTCCTTACCTGCAACGGAAGAATTGTCAACAATGGTGAGAGTAATTTTAAAATGAAAATTATCCATATAATATATATGAAGAAAGTCTTGAAAAGTTTATTGAAACTAAAAATGTAAAAGAAATAATCGATAAAATTTGATATTCAAATTCAAGTACAGTAGAGGGATCAAAACGACAATTTAACCCATTACAATCCATGCACAACTTACGTAAAATGCAGAGCAAAGCTTTCACCTTCGCCCATGCAATGAACAACTTTAAGTTCAAAGGCTATGGATTCAACCCCTCCGAGCAAGATCTCACTGACTACCTCCAAGACTGAACACTGCTCGGCCGTGATTACTACAACGACATCGTCGATCTCAGTCATGATATTTGCAACTATGATCCTTGGGATTTTTCGTACACTTACTTGAACCGATCATATTTAGAACATTTTGGAGTTATATTTCTTCTGCAAAAGCTTAAATTCATGTCAATAATGGTGAATGATTTGAATACTCAACAATAATTTTATGTTGGTTTAGGTTCGAGTAGGATCCAATCACGAGCCATTGGTAGAGACCGAAGTGCCTAATGACCAACGTACGTGGATTCAAAATCAAACGAGCATTAGTGAACAAACTACCGAGTTTATAACTTCGTTTCCTCTTGTTAACCATGGGAATGAAGTGATCTCCGATCTGCAGTCATCTAACGAGGGATTTGATTCATTAGTTACCTCTAAAATTATGTGGCATTTGATTCATTTTGTGAATGCCTTGGAAGTACCTGATATGGGTGATCAAAATCAGCTTATTCTAATCAACATAACATAGTTGCAGCTGCAGAGAACGAGGGATTCGACTCGATTGATCTATCATTCTGAACTATTCGGATTAACAGCGATCAGCGAACAAACAAACCCCAAGAAAGAAGCAATCGGTATAATATAGTTGCAGTTGCAGAGGATGAGGTCTTCAACTTGCCTATAAATCAAATGGTGAGCAGTATGATATGATCCAGAACTAGTCCAAATTCAACGATTTATGCTGGGATAATGTGCCACAAGCACTTCATGACTATGACGGGGCTCAAAATCAGTACGATATCAACCAGCAAGTCGAATCGAGTTTGATAGAGACCGAATCTTTGGATTCGGTCGAAAAAGATTGGTCATGGAGTTTGAGGGATCAAGCATTCGCATAGAAACCGAATCGATTTAACCACAGGCAAAGAAGAGTAGATGATGAAGTCCTCTATTGCTTATCTCTTGTTCTACGAGTAATGCTTATCTGTCAAACTTCAGGATTTAGGTTTGTGGAATCTAGTCCGAATTTAGTAATCATTTTGTATTGTTTTTAAAATTTAATGACTGGAACGATTATTTGAATATAATTTAGTGAGCTCTTATGTATTTTACTCTCGAAAATAAAGAAATAATACTAGGGTAAACTACATCAGATACCACTAAACTTTAGGCAGTATATCGTTTTTACCATTGAACTTTCAATTACTCCAATTATAGCATTAAACTTTGGTTTGAGTGAATTTTGTGGAAAACCAATCTTAGAAGAAGAAAAATGAGTGAAATAAGAACATTTTGTTATCAATCTTATCATGAAAGAAGACCGGTGACAGATAACGATTGACTGCTAACGACGGTCGAAAAATACAGTACTAGAAAATAAACTATTTAAAAGTTTAATAACAAAAACGATACACATATAAAGTTCAATTGCTAAAATAATAGTATTAGGATCAATAACCACACTAAAACGATATCATATGTTTGGATTTTAACGGCCTAATTTTATAATTGAAGTTAAAACTAAAGTATAATATTATAATTAGAGTAATTAAAAGTTTAGTGGTATAAACGAAATATCCTTTAAAAATTAGTGGTATTTGTTGTAGTTTACTCACAATATTAATACCCGCACACTGACCCGCCAAACGAGATCCTACCCGCTTTAGGCTTTAGCCGAGTCAAAGCTAAATTAGAGTCGATGATTCGGTTTTATCCCCTCTCTTACCCCCCCCCCCAAAAAAAAATTAAACTAAACCCTAATTCTATCTCCATTTTCTCTTTATTCACCTTCACAATTATAGTAAGAATGGAAAAGTTTCATAAAACAGATTGCATCGAGCTCTTATCGGAAATCAAGCATCAAGAGAAGCTGCTTAATCTCAAAAGAAGGTTCTTCCCCCATTTCTATTTTCTTAAATTTTCACGCTCATTGCTCTTTGATTTCTTCTTGAAAAAAATATACTTTTATGTATAATTCTTCAAAATTCTGAAAAGTAGTTAGTACCTGTAATATAAAATATACTGATGGTCTTCTTATTTATTTATTTTGTTTTAATCAAGTGAAAGATCCTTTTTTCCCTCATTGCATTAATTTATATGTGTGTGAGAAAGGGAATTGTGTTGTTTCTTGTAAGAACATTCACTAGGAAAGCAATTTTTTTCAATCGAGTGCTTGTTTTGCAGTGATGGTATTGGAATGCATTTAGTTTTGTTATATAAACAAAGCTTTTGATGCATTATGGTGGTTTATGTTTGTGTCGGAACTCGGAAAAAGGTTGCTTATCGAGTTTTTTTGCAGCTGGTTGATGGGACTTTCGACTTCCAAGTTGAAAAAGAAGCAATTTGAGGAACCCAAGTTTTTTAAGTTCAAGTACGTGGGGAGCTTTACTTGTATTTATCTTTGTTATTGTTTTTCTTTGATGTATTGGTTAATTTTTAATTTATTTGTATTTGGTTCTGTCTTGCAGGACTTTGCCTGAATCTTTTCTGAGGGAGGATGACGTAAGTTAAAGCAACATTGTATGATAATGATGGATGTCGTCTTGTTTACTTTCTATAATTTGCTACCTTAAATATGTGTTCTTCCGTTAACAAATGTTGTTGCTATTATGTATTTTGGCAGATGTTCTACGAGACTATTAAAACTCATGTTGAAAATGCATTCGGAGTAAGCAATTTCAAAATAGGAAATCATGTAATTGAAGATAGCGCCGAATCATTTGATGCACCAAAGATAAATGAAGTCCTTTTCTCAAGTCTCGATGCTTTGACTAATGATGGGCTTCAACGAATTATTATGATACTTTCAGGTGGCTCAGGGAAGTTTGAGAAAACTCGGTGCAAAATGAAAAAAGTTATTAGAGAATGTTTGCCGAGGTTTCTGAGCAGTGAAGATCATGATCACAAGAAGAAGACCGATATTATGCAGCTATATAAAATTCTCAATGACCCTCGATATTTTCGGAGCAGTACTATGAAATCAATGACTCCAACATCTAAGTGTCTTCATGCTGTTGCAATCCATGTGCTGGATGGGTTAGAGGATTTGCCTTTGCAGACCTTGGTTACAATGGACAGGAAGCTTAGATGTGTCAAATCTATTCCCGAGTTAAAAACTTGTGAATGCAGTCAGAAACGTAAAGGTTTAATTCAAAAAGTGAATAAAACAGCTAGAAAGATGCTTATGGATCTTGATGAAGTGGAGAAACTACAAGAGCCCTTAGCTAAAGCATTGGTGGTGGCAGACTTATCACTAAAGCTAACTACGGGTTGTCAAAATACCTCCATAACAGGCTTTCACCAATTCACGCCAGAAATAGTAAGCTTGCAGAATGACATTGTGAGGGCTATTTGGACTCTTAAAACGAAGGCTAGATTCGCAGAGCTGAAAGCCTTAAAACTTTTGTTGGATCCAAATGTTGAAATAGAAACTCGTTCTTTAAGAGGAGCAATTACAAATATGTTAACAGAGTTCCTCTTTGAGTGCAGTGATATGGATACGGTTCCCAAGTCTTTATTAGAAGCACTTTCTGTTATTAACAAGGATTCCCGATCTTTTCCACAAGGACGCTTTGTAAGAGATGAAATTGAAGAAGAGGTTGAATGTATACTCACTGTAAGTGCTGAGATGAAACAAGTCTTTTGGGACTTGCTTCCTGATCATGAGTTAGATGAAGAATTTGCCGATGCATATGGAGAAGAATTAGAAGAAAGTGATGATAATAGTTGTATTGAGGATACTGGCAATTATGGCAATGATGGGAAAATGTTGAACGAGGACTTAGAGAGTTGCATGTCCTATTCTGTCACTTCAATCGACAGAGATGACGTTATACAGAATGTGAAAATGGAGCCAGAAATTGCCTCAGGTCATGAAAAAAGTAGCAAAGATATAAACCAACTAAAGAACGTGGTCAAATCGCTTGCATCAAATAACAGAAATTGTATTTCAGTTGAGAGAGATGAGGTTGAACAGAACATTGGAGTGGATCCAGAAAATGCATCGACCATTTCATCTAACTATCAACTGAGGAACGAAACATTGCTGACAACAAAACAAGCACTCGTAGAAATCGATATCTTGCAATCCAAGAAGCATGTGACGAAGCAAGTTTGGTTGCCCACAATCTAATTGGTCGGTTACTGGAAAGGTTTGCTAAGGAGCAGGACATGGATTTAGATTGGAGTGATAACTTGTATCTCGGAGGTGATTCTTCAACTCAACAACATACACAAGGTATCAAACTTATGCTCTCCCCCCTCAGTCAAGCTTTATAAACCATGTATTTTATTAGCCATTTCCCCCCGAAAACTGTTGCTGACACAAGCATATTGGCTAACAAGCGGTTCTTGTAGCTACACTGACATCAAATGTTATGTTAAAATTTACAGTACTGATGCAGGATTGTGATATGAATAACTTTGAGACTAATGTAGGATGCATTTAGTGCAAAATGTAGTAAATTACATAGGCTACGTGGTTCTAACTTGTTAGATTATCTGGTGATGAGTGGATAATGAACATTAAAGAAAATTTGCTTAATTGCTCTGCTTATGTGATAACGAATTACATTTTCTTTGTTTCCACTATTTGCACAGAAAAGAAGCAGAAAATATCCAAGGAAGATGTCGGAGATAATCTATCGAAACACTCAAGGAGGTTATGCCTTTTGTTCCAAAGAGGTATATAATATATTCCTATTCATGCTTGTTCTGGTATATGACTGTTTTTTACTTTTCAATTTTATCAACTAATCCTTTGTTATTGAGATGTAAACTGTCATTTATTTGCTTCAGACCGCAGTGACATCAAAATCAGATGAGTTGATGGGGGCACATCTTGATCACCCTTTTATTTGCCGGTAAGATTATATCAGCATTCGGCACAGATTTTGTACTGCATCAGTGTTTATTCATTAAACTCGACCTATTCAAATTCCCACTTCAACTTTCAATTATTTGAGATGTGGCTTCGCTTACAAGGAGCAAAGATCAAAACAATCATATGGTTTCACCGATTCATTGTACAGAGAAGTAACTGCTTGTAAGTGGTAAAGTTCGATCATCTTTGCTTGCCGATCTAATTGCCTCACATTCATTCAGAATTCGGAGACATTCGACTTTTTTCCCACATGTACCGATTGTTAGTGAGTTATTAAAGGAAAGAATTGAGTATGTGTAGCATTGCAATTCATTTTACTTGTTCTACAGCTTGAAGCAACAGTCGGTTACCCTCAAAGTTTTGTTGCCAGGTACTATACATGTTGTGTTATATTATTTTCTTGTATTATAGTCATATTTAGGCATTATATATTTATAAATTACGCCATTTATAGATGCTGAATACGACCGTGTCAAGACGTAAATGTTGGGAATTTTTATATATTAGGATAATCATACTATGTATCCAAGTCTTAGACACAAATATCTAATACAAATATCGGATACAGATACTTATGAAAATAAAAACTCAGTTAACTTGGACAATAGCTAGGATCCTATTTCTATTGCTCCCTCCTAACATATACAGCACTATATAACTTACTATAATTTATGCTCACATCTTCTTCACCCTTCTTCCTTGGACTGAAGCAGAAACAATGGTGTAAAATCAAAAAACAGAAGCTTCGACCTGAGCAGCCATTTAACTTGATAAGTTTCATTCGCATTTTTCATCTACAGAACCTGAATCGAGTTCGATAAATTACCACGAAGGCCGATAGTTGATTGCCGAGGGGCATTGGCACATCATCTACAATCCTCAAGGCAAAAAACAGCTACTATTGCTAGAACTGCCCATAGCACAAGGTACATCTCGAAGTTGAAACTTGACGCTTCGTGATCCGACATACTCTAACATTTCCAAGCACTCAAGTAAATCCGAGTCACTAATCAACGTTACCCATTCCTCTTCATCCAAATAGTTGAGCCGGAACGTCCCATTTTGAATTTTGAACCTTTTCGCAACTTGTTCATATAGTTGGAAGCACACTGCAGATGGCTCAAACTTAAATCGAGCAGTATACTCTTTGTAAGTAGCTTTTACGGTAATTTTCGAGCTGCTATCAACAAAAATTGTTTTCAATTCAGAATTCTTTGCCTCCATAGATTTTAGAGTCTGATGAACTTCCGTGTAATATTGAACCAAAGCCATTTGAAGAGTACGTCATGTTTGAAGAAGCAGGTTGGTCGTTATATTCGACAATCTCATCATCACCTTGTTTTCGGCTATCCATCTCATCAGGACCAGATGAGGAGCTTGAGCTCCGAGACATGAAGTGGCAGTCAGGAATCTCTACTTTCTTATTCCCTTTGTTGTCTCCTTGGCGGAAAAACAAACCCATAGTTGCATTTTCAGGACATGTCCAAGATACAGCGCCAACGCTCGATGCCGGAAATGATCCTGCATCTAGAGCAACCGACTTAGACTCCTCACTATAACTCGTTTTCTTTACTTCTTCACAGATGCTTGGAATGAGCAAACTCCTAGCAGCCTCTCCGTTCTGTCCACCAAAGGAACACTAGTTTTCACCCAACTTAAACACTGAATCCTGTCCATCAAGACAAGATGCAAGAGTTGCTGATTGATTGACAGCTTTGGATAATCCTTTGGGAAGGTTTTTGTTGGAGCACAGTAGTGTCTTTTCGGGATTATGTTCTTGGATAATGGCACCTGCTGCAACAAACTCTCCTGTGGCGGGGTCGAATTTCAATCCTCCAACCCCTTGTACAGAGTTGAGAACAGTTTGTATTTTTTTTAATGATCGATTCACTTTGTTAATCTTGCGAGACAGTCATCTTGAGATACCATGTTGTCAGCATATCCTTTCCAGCGTAGTGGGGCAAACTACAAGCAGAAGGAAATTTGAAGGTCAGTCAGATAAAAATCCGCAGCAAGAATCAGTTTCAAACCACATTATTGCCTTGGACTGAGCCAAGAATATATTTGATTCGAAAAATTCTATGGTCAAAATCTTAGTTCATACAGTTTCTAGAGTCTGGATGTTATGAACTTGGAAAGAACAATCTCAGTGAATAAAGTTGGATACACAATCTCATAGAAAATACAAATCAACTTAAATTTATAGAAACCTGAAACAGATCCAAGTATATAAGGACCATGAAATGCATATAGAAATGTTACATCGAAGCTTACCACCGATGCTTTTTGCAGCATCATTCAGGCTCCCAGATAAATACTGCTGAAGAACACTAAAGCTCACATTCTTTTCTGCTGTACTTCTCTTCTGCCTAAACAGTCCGTTGATTGCCTATAAATATAGATTCTAAGAAATTATTTAACAACATAAAGTAAATACCAAACAAAGTAAATATGTTGTGTATAAATATAGATCATAAAATTGCTTGGTCTCAGTACGCTACTGAAATCAAATTCCGGAACTTCTATAGTTATGTGTCCGATAATTCTGGTGCTCAAGTCATTCGCTAAAAGGGAAAAAATGCTCAACGAAATACCTTTTCAGGAGGACCGTCAGCTCCCTTTGCATGACTAGAATAAGATTCATTCAAGGGAGTGCTATGACTGGAGTTCATATCACCATCAGCAGATAATGCCATTTCCGAGGTCATCTGAGAGAGAGACACTAAAGGGAAGGTTGGGACTGTTACCCTCTGAAACTCTACTTTTGACTGTTCGCCAACAATTTCTGCATCTGAAACCATTCTCAGTCCTACAGATTCGCTGCATGGTGCCTGAGAGGTTGTTCAACAAGAGCTGCTGTTCGGAACTCCCTTTCATGTTAATAGGAAGGAAAAGCTCTAATATATAATCATTGTCATCAGTGTAGGTGCTCCTCAGCCGGATTGCAACCGCAGCATTCAGGTTAAACTTACTTGCATGATGGACGAGTGGATAATCACTTACGTCGTACGTCTTCACATCTGTAGAAAAGAACGAATGATTGGATTGAAGTGCTTTTCCAGCAATACCTTGTCCATCTTCGAGATAATGTTCTATGCATGCATGCACAAAATCTTGCTTCTCTATGTCATTAATGTAATAGGCTGTATCTTCGATGCATAAGACACACTTCCCATCCCAAGCCTTATCGCTCTCTCTAACACGCATTTTTATGAATTCATCCTCAGCTTTCACGGTGTAATTACAAGGAATCCATGTTAGAGCCAAAGGCAAGCTATGCACATGACACATCACACGCAAAACATCAGTTATTTCAGCTAAAGCAGCTCTCTGATTCCTTGAAAGGCACTGGAGAAAAGTGAAAGGGGAGGCTTAGAGAAAAGCAACAGTACCACATACATGTTCAGTTGGTATGCATATGCATAGACATGTACACATACACTTACGTATACATATAAAAACCAGAGTTCTGAAACAACTGATATGAAACGCATACAAGTATTTTAACATACCTGTAGAAGAAACTGAGGACGAGCAAGGGTCCTTAAATTCACAACCTGCAGATAATAGAGATCAAAACACATTTCATGATAACAGCCATAACAATTCTAAGATACAGTTGAGAATCTCATAGACGAATAGTTCAAACATTTATAACCAAAACATTCAGCATAGGAGAATAGCATAGCACCTAATAATTTCTTCTTCATTTTTAACATTGTTAATCCAAATATTCTGCATAATTTCAGTGTGAATATACATGATTTTGAAGTAGTATAAAAAGGTAAAATTTTGTAGTGCACGTCACAATTACCAAATTCTTAGAGTTAACTTTTTTTACCTCCTTGATTATACTCTTCTTTACGTCATCCCTTGCAAAGAGTTTAAGTTCAAATATGCTAATAAGGTAGCTACAAGCTATGCCAATGACAATGATATGTTTCGAGTATTACAGAATACGAATAGGATATTCATTCATTGCAGACCCCAGAACACTAACTTTAACTACCATAGAAACAGAAATAATAGATACTAACCTTGAAAGCACGGCAGACATGGTCCATTTCTGAATCAAAATTGATTTTCTCTTTCGTAGTAACAAGTTCTAGCACGGCACAACAAGACATCTCGCAAGGCTCAAAAACTGGGAATAAAACCACGAACTTCGTGATTGACAGCATCTGTAATCCGTAAATACTCAGCCTTACTGTAATGGATTACATTGGAAGTCCACTCAGGAACCCTAGAGATAAAAACACGACCAGGAAGCCCCGGGAAGGAACCCGGTTTCTGTTCTGCGGAGAAGATATATGTCCTTGATAATTCACGATAACCCTAAAGCATCTGGTCTAATA